CCAGCAAGGGATCGAAATCCATGGCTTTCCTTAGAGAGCGACCTCTGTGCAACCAGAACAACCCACTTCACAACCAGAGCGACCACTTTACAACCCAGACGGGGCTCCTTGCAACCAGAACGGCCACTTTACAACCAGCCTTCAGGAGCGCGTGCGCGCTCTGCAGAGGCGTATGAGGCTTCAGAGCGCCTGAGCATTCTGCAGAGGCATCTAAACGCCTGAGCGTTTTGCAGATGCTTCTGAGCGCCTGAACGCTTTGCAGAGGCTTCTGAGCGCCTGAGCGCTCTGCAGAGGCTTCTGAACGCCTGAGCGTTCTGCAGAGTCTCCTGAGCGCCTGGACGCTCTGCAGAGGATTCTGAGGGCCTGAGCGCTCTGCAGAGGCGTCTGAGCGCCCGAGCGTTCTGCAGAGGCTTCTGGGTGCCGGAGCGCTTTGCAGAGGCTTCTGAGCGCATGAGCGCTTTGCAGAGGCTTCTGAGCGCCTGAGCGCTCTGCAGAGTCTCCTGAGCGACTGGGCGCTCAGCAAAGGCTTCTGAACGCAGGAGCGCTCTGCAGAGGTTTCTGATCGCCTGAGCGCTCTGCAGAGGCTTCTGAGCGCCTGAGGATTCTGCAGAAGCTTTTGAGCGCCTGGGTGCTCTGCAGAGGATTGTGACCGCCTGGGCGACTTGCAGTGGCTTCTGAGTGCCTGGGCGCTTTCTTTACAAAGGCGCCTGGGCGCCTGAGCGTTCTGCAGAGGCAATTGAGAGCCTTGGCGCATTGCAGATGCTTCTGAGCGCCAGAGACCTCTGCAGAGGCATCTGATCGCCTGAGCGCTTTGCAGATGCTTCTGAGCGCCTGAGCGCTTTGCAGAGGCTTCTGAGCGCTTGAGCGTTCAGAGGCTTCTGAACGCCTGAGCGCTCTGCAGAGGCTCCTGAGCGACTGGGCGCTCAGCAAAGGCTTCTGAGCGCCCGAACCTTCAGCAGACGTTTCTGATCGCCTGAGCGCTTTACAGAGGCTTCCGGGCGCCTCAGCGCTCTGCGGAGGCTTCTGAGCGCATGAGCGCTTTGCAGAGGCTTCCGAGTGCCTGAGCGCTCTGCAGAGGCGTCTGAGTGCCTGAGCGTTCTGGAGAGGCTTCTGAGCGCCTGAGCGCTCTGCAGAGGATTGTGACCGCCTGAGCGCTCTGCAGAGGCTTCCGAGCACCTGAGCGCTCTGCAGAAGCTTTTGAGCGCCTGGGCGCTTTGCAAAGGATTGTGACCGCAAGAGCGCCCTGTAGTGTCTTCTGAGCGCCTGGCGCTTTGCAGAGGTTCTGAACGCAGGAGCGCTCTGCAGAGGCTTCTGAGCGCCTGGGCATTTTGCAGAGGCTTCTGAGCGCCTAAGCGCTCTGCAGATGCTTCTGAGCGCGTGAGCGCCCTGCAAAGGTTCCTGAGCGCCCGAGCGTCTTGCAGAGGCTCCTGAGCGCCTGAGCGCTCATTCGGCGGCCCCTAAGCGCCTCAGAGCCTCGTGCGGGATTTTTGCCACATGTCTGCCCTCTTGGTTACGCATGCTTCTGCGAATGCGAAAACATCAGGTAGTGCTATTGCCATGCGACGAGGCACGATCAAGTCAATTATTTGCCAGGCCAAACGATACACATCGAATTCCGCATACGTTGGCTGGAATACAACCAGTGATGTCATGGGCACACGTCCGCCCTCCTGGGTTCGCATGATTCCGCAATGGCGCAACTATGCGGTTTTGCTTTTGCCAGACGATGAGGCGCGAGAACAAACGCGGCTTGCGATGCACAGAAACACGATTGAACATCAACATGCGTTGGCTAGTGTTTTGCAAACGATTTCTTGGCCACATTTCTGCCTTCCAGGGTGCGCATGCTTTTGCGAAAGCGAACGCACGCGATTTTGCTACTGCCTGACGATGAGGCGCGAGGGCACACATTGCTTTTGAGGCCAAAGAACAGTACACTTACATCCACACGTAGTGGTTCGAATGCTCCCATCGATTGCGTGGCCACATGTCCGCCTTCCTGGGCACGCATGCTTCCGCAATTGCGAAAACACGCGGTTCTTGCGATTGCTAGGCGATGGGTCGCGAGGACAAACATGGTTTATGATACAACATATACATTTTGAAATCCACATGTATTGGCTAGAATGTTACCATATTTCTTTCCCACATGTCCGCCCTCCTGGGCACGCATGCAAGCGCGAATGCCAAAACATGTGGTTTTGCGATTGCCAGGCGACGGGGTGCGAGGACACAAGTTGTCCGTGAGGCCGAGGCACACATTAACATCCACATGAATCGGCTCGAACTCTACCATCGATTTTTGGCAATAGTTCCGCCTTCTGGAGTACGCATGCGTCCGGAATTGCGAACACATGTTTTCAAGCCAAACGATCAGGCGCGATGACAAACATGGCTTATGATGCAGAAGAGCCAACGTCTGAACTCCACATGTATTAACTGGAATGGTACACATGATCTCTTGGCCACGTTTCCTCTATCCTGGGTGCGCATGCTTCCGCACATGCGAAAACATACGGGTGCACGGTGCACCGTTGCCAGACGATGAGGCGCGAAGGTACAATATGTCCATGGCGCAAAGCTATGAAACCCACGTGCAGAGTTTAGAATGTTGCCAACGACGCCTTCATCACGTTCCCATTCTTCTGGGGGCGTGCGCGTTCCCCTGCGACTTCTGCGGCGAACGCTTACTGTCCTTCTTTCAAACAAGATTTTCAGGCAGAGGTCTGAGGCTCCCCAAACGATGTAGATTTAGGACATGGAGGTTTGAACTCTCAAACCGCCCAGGCCTGTCACCAGCCTGTAGCGGGGGGATCTCGATAGGACCTCAATTTGGTTCCAATAGCTCATTTTGGGTACCACAAGGATTACAATAGTACGCCAATCGGTGCACAGTTTGATTCAAAGAGGAAAGGTTCTTGTTGGGATACAGTTGGGTCCTGATGGGATCCCCGTAGTATGCCCGCATGAATCGAAAAGGAAGGATTCCGATATTACTCCAATGCGATATCCTTCGCATTCGCCAATATGGTTCCGATGGGATTCCAAGGGAAACGGTTCCTACAGAAGAACCCAAAATAATTCCCACCGGGTTTCCATATGGTACCCCCGTGCGTTCCCGCAGCAATCCAATAGGAAGGTATTTCGATTGTAACCCAGTGGGTTTCCAATCGGTTTCCATTAGGAAGGGCCCCAACGGGTTTCAATAGGAAGCGCCCTTATCGAATCCCAATAGGACGCTCGTAGGCCAACAGGATCCCAGTGGGAAGGGTGCCAATCGGATTCAAATGGGATTCCCGTTGGATCCCATTCGGAATCCGCCATTTCACATATTCTCGTTTTAGGCGGGTTACTTTACAACCAACGCGCTTCAGAGAGTCAAGTGTCTCCCTTACGTGGACCCACGGTGATTTCGAACATTGAAGAACATGTGTGGCTTATGTGCGTTTATTTGCCTGGTTGTAAAGTGGCCTTCCTGGTTGCAAAGTGCCCTTCTGGGATAATCCATGCTGGTTGTAACGTGCCCCATCTGGTTGCAAAGTGGCCGCTCTGGTTGCAATGTGACCCGCGCTCCCTCCCTCCCTCCCTCCTTCCCTCCTCCTTCTCCTCCTCCTCCTCCACCTCTCCCCCTCCTCCTCCTCCTCCTCCTTCTCGTCCTCCTCCTCCTCCTCCTCCTCCTCCTCTTCCTCCCTTCTCCTCCTCCTCCTCCTCCTCCTCCTCCTCCTTCTCGTCCTCCTCCTCCTCCTCCTCCTTTTCCTCCCTCCTCCTCCTCCTCCTCCTCCTCCTCCTCCTCCTCCTCTAGGCCTCCTAGATGGAGTCGGAGTAGATGGGGTCCTGGGATCGCGCCGCATCGCCGATGCATCGGCGAAATGGAGCTCGACTTTATCCACGACGACGTCGTCGATGCATCGTCGATGTATCGTCGATGCGGCGCGATCCTCCGACCCCGTCTATTGGGACCCCATCTGGGAGGCCTCTGGTGAAACGGCGTGCTCAGGTCCAGGCATCCGACGATGTGCTTTTTCAATGCGCGGCCTCAGAGGTCCCGGCCCCTTCGGTTTGGGGGGCAGCTTTTCGTCCTGGATCCATTTCGGGTGGCCTTGGGGCCCGCATCCCAGGCCCCAGAGGCTGGAAATGGAGAAGAATTGCCAGGACTGACAAGCACATCGCTGGAGGTCTGGGGATGGCGCACCCTCTTCCTCTCGGGTCGGACGAAAGGCGTGGATAATAGTGAAAAGGGGGTTACGAAAACTGTTGCATGCAGCTGGTTCCGGCCCCGCCGCTAGACGCTCTGGTGCCTCTGGCGCCGCGAGGCGCCCGGGAAATCGGTTACGTGAGTTGATTCGCTACACCCTCCCCTTCACGAAAGCCTCTCTCCGAGGCGGGGATTTACCCATATGCACCGCCTCGGGGATCGATCCTCGCGGACTTCACAGGCGGTGGATATGCATACAAACACACACACACACATATATATATATATATACATATATGTATTCGGGCCCTCGGGGGCCAACATATATCCGTATCCACCGCCCGCCGGGGCACCAGGACGTCGGTTCCCAGGCGGTGGATATGGATCAGTCCCCGCCGCGGACTCTCCTTTTCGTCACCCCATCTCACCGCCCACCAATCCCCCCCAACCCCACCCGAAGGCCCCCGTCTGCCCGCCATCTCCGGCCGAGGGGCGTCGGAGAGCACCGACCGAACACACACAAAGCGGGACCCCCCTCCCCCCGACTTTGGGGTCTTCGGGTTCGGTCTTGGGGTGGTCGTCGCCCCGTTCTCCTCCCCCCCTCCCGCCCCCGGCCGGCGATGGCCAGTGCCACCGACGGCGGGGCTCCCGAGGGCCCCGCCGCGGGCGGGGCCGGCGCGGCCGAGCAGCCGCCCGCGGCCTCGCTCGAGGCCGCGGAGGCCGGCGGCGGCGGCGCGGCGGAGCCGCGGCCCGCGAACCCGTTCGCGCTGGAGGCCGCGGAGGCCACCGCGGTGGCCGCCGCGGCCGACCCGCCGCCGCGGGCCGAGGGCGCGGGCGCGGGGCCGCCGGAGGAGGCGAGCGCGGCCGCCCGCGGGGGCGGCGGAGGGCGTCTGCGGTTCGGTCGTGCGAGCTCGGGCTCCCTCCGCGGCCCCGGGCGGCTCAGGCCGATGCCGCTGCTCGTCCTGCGGAGCCCTCGTCGGCACGGCGGGATCCTCCGCGGCACTGCCTGGCCAGGGCACGCTCCCCGGGAGAGGTCCGGGGGGGAGCGGTGCAGTTGGGAGCTGGTGGGCGGGGCCCCGCTGGCCCCGCATCGGCTTCGGCCAGACATGGGGAGAAGGGGGCCCGCTCGTCGGCACGGCTGGGCGCGGCTTCAAAAGCTGGTCGGGTTCGACCCCTGCGAGCGTTAAGTCGGGCCTGTCCCTCTAGAGGAGGGATATTCAAAAATTTTTAAGAAATAGTCTGGGGACGATTTTTGGACTATTTTTGATCATTTGGGAATATTGAATATTTTCAGCTGTTCGCCCAAAATCCGCCTGTAGGGGGACAGGCCCGACCTAGTGCGAGCGGTCTGGGGACCGATCTTAAGTGACTCTGCTGCCATCCCCGCCTCTTGGCCCCTTTTCTCTGGCCTTGTCCAGTCAAGACCTCCCGGCCGCCTCTAACGCTAGATGTGCCAGTACGGTGTGTTCGGGTCGTGTCGATGAGGCGGCGCCCCCAGCGTTGAGTCGGGCCTGTCCCTCTACAGGAGGAATCTTCGAACATAGTTTAAACAAATTGTCAGGGGACGATTTTTTTTGCGTATTTTTGAATATTTGCCGAATGTTGTTGGTCATTTTTTATTGTTTCGTCCAAAATACGTATGTAGGGGGACGTGTCCGACCTAACCCCAGCGTGGGAGTTCACGGTTGAGCAGTGCTGGTGGCTTGGAGTCGTCCACCGTCGAGCGCTCTTTGCTGTCGGGCAGCCGCGGTCGTGCGAGTCCGAAGGGCGCGGTGTCCGAAGCACGCGCAGGACGCCACGACACGAACCCGCCGCGCGCATGCGGGGAAGGATCGGTGGCCACATGCGGACCCTACTCGTAAGTCGGGCGTGTCCCTCTACAGGGGGAATGTCCCAAAATAGTACAAAAATAGTCCGGGGACGATTTTTGTACAATTCATGCTGATTTCTTGTACATAGTCTAAGTATTTTTCATTTTTCGTCACAAGTCCACCTGTAGGGGGACATGCCCGTCTTAACCCTACTTGGAAACCGGAATATCTACATCACCAGTGGCGGCCTGTTTTTTGAGTCCCAGGACTTCTGGAGGATCGGGGACGACGTCGGGGTGGTGCGGTGCACACTTTTTTGCCCGCTCTCCCGGGGAAACGACACACACACAGATTGCATACACCAGGATTGCGTAGAATTGCACCAGGACCCGCTTTCCTGTGCGAGTTCCTGTGCGGGGCTGGAAAAGGCGTCGGTGTATAGAGTTCGGCTCCTTACCTACCGCCACCCCCCACTAGTTCTCGGCGGGGCGGGGGTTTACTCCGACGAGGAGGATCGATGAGGATCCAGGATATTTTTTCTGCCTCGGGGCGCGCTCCGCCAGCTGCCCCGTGCCGAGAGCGCTCTTCGGGGGTTGCCCAGTTCTTCTTCCGCACGGTCAGGAGGGTCACCAATCTGCGGCGAGTCCGGGGGGAAGGTTTTCGCCATCCTCGCTGCCATCGCCTCGTTTTCGCCAATTTCGGCCTCCTGGGAGGCCGTCGTCGCCACGGCTGGATTCGCCTCGAAGCACTGGTCAGAACGCACCCCGGGAGAGGTCCTGTTAGTACCAGTATTGGTGCCTGTTGGTTTCGCCAAGACGGTGCGGGCCTCATCAGAAGGCTCGGAATCGAAGACGAGAACACGGCATAGACATAAACTGCTGGCGTTCCTCCGCGCGGAATTCTTGGATCCGCGCTGGGCCCCCCGGCGGCGCCTCTGGCGCCGCCCCTGGCGCGCTTCGCGCGCCGGGGATGGGGTCCAGCGCAGGTCCAAGAAGTCCGCGCGGAGCGCCAAGAGTTTCCGTTCATGCCGTTTGTTCTTCTTCTGCGGAGGTCCCTTCGCCTTCTGAGAAGTTTTCTAAGGTTCCGCCGAGCACGCAGCAGAACCTCTCAGAAGGCCTGAGAAGCCTCGACGCCTTCTGAGGAGGCCCTCTCCTTCTCATTCCCCCTCTCGCTCGCCGCCGAACCAGGGGTGTCCGCGGTTGGGTGGGTTCGGCTGCGTCACAGTCGGTTTCGTTCGGTCGGTTCGGCTCGGTCGGCTGTTGGGTCGTTGCTGCATTGCTGCGTCGCTGCTCCCTTTCAGGCTACTTGCGGCCTGTCGATTTCGGTTTTTCTGTCGGTTCGGTCGGTTTTCGGTTGCGCTGTCGCCGTGGGCGGCACACGTAGAGGCGGCGTCTTCGCATGAGCAAACACCGGCATGCGCATACGGCAGGTTCGTGTCGTGCCGACGCAGTGACGACCCCAGCGCGGGCGCTCGAGGTTGAACGCCGCCAGAACGGTGCAGATCCACCGCCGAGAAAGATCGGCACTTCCATCAAGTTTCTCGGAGGGCCGCGCGGACCCGAGCGGATTTCTTGGATCGGCGCTGGATCCCCCCTCCCTGGGGCGCGGAGCGCAATGGGGAGGGAGTTCCCACGCCGATCTTCCTGTTCTTCCGGAAGCTTTCGTTCAAGTCGGGCGTGTCCTTCTACAGGAGACAAATCCAAAATTTTAAAAAATAAAATGTGGACGATTTTTCGACGATTTTCGAGTATTTGGGATCATTCTGTTTTCGCCGAAAATCCCCCTGTAGGAGGACATGCCCAACTGAGAGGGAGTTCCAACGCCGATATTCCTGTTCCTCCGGAAGCTTCCGTGTGTTGTGCAGCTGCTTGTCCCTCCAAGGCAGTCGCCGTCGCTGCCGCGGGCGCGGCGGCGAGGCACCGGGAGAGCTCGGCTGTCGCGGCGGTGGCGGCGCCCTTCTACGAGCCGGAGCTGGTCACGGTGAGGGCGGGCGACGAGGAGGTGGAGGTCGACATGCGGGCCTGCGCCCCGCAGGCGGCGCTGTTCGAGTCCCTGCGCGCGCAGGCTCGCGGAGGCGCCGACGGCGCCGTCGTGCTCACGCTCCCGGGAGAGTTCCCTGGCGGGCCCCCGATACTGAGGCTTTGGGGCAGGGGCTTGCCCAGTTATCCACTGCCTGGGAAGCCGATTTTCCTGGACATTTGGACGCGATGGGCTTGGACATAATCAGTGGGCCACCCCCAGGCGCCCCCACACATGTGTTTGTTTGTCTGTCTATCTGTCTGTCTGTCTGTCTGTGTGTCTGTCTGTCTGTCTGTCTGTCTGTCTGTCTGTGTGTCTGTCTGTCTGTCTGTCTGTCTGTCTGTCTGTCTGTCTGTCTGTCTGTCTGTCTGTCTGTCTGTGTGTCTACCTGTCGGTCTGACTGTCTGTCTGTCTGTCTGTCTATCTGTCTGTCTGTCTGTGTGTCTGTGTGCCTGTGTGTCTGTGTGCCTGTGTGTCTGTCTGTCTGTGTGTGTGTGTGTGTCTGTCTGTGTCTGTGTCTGTGTCTGTGTCTGTGTCTGTGTCTGTGTCTGTGTCTGTGTCTGTGTCTGTGCCTGTGCCTGTGCCTGTGTCTGTCTGTCGGTAGGTAGGTAGGCGTCCATGCATGTTTGCATGCATGCACGTATGCATGCATGCGTGCATGCACGTGTATGTTTACATACATGCGTATATATGTATATAGTTATATATAGACATCTGCATGCATGCTTGTATGTATTGATGCATCGATGTGTACAGGTATGTCTGCATGCATTCGGAGTGTAGGTATGCATGCAAGCGTGCATGCATGTACGTAGCACCCCGCAGTTGCGGATTTGAGTGAAGGGGCGACGGGGACGTCGGCAGTCTGCGAGGCTCTGACGAAGGTCGCCGCAGACGCCTATTTTTTGAATTTGTACAACGAGCTCGCCGCAGGCACCGATTTTTTCGTTAATGCAATGTGGGTGGGTTGCGGCTTGGGTCGCAGGTGGCTCGCTGGTGGGTCGCGGGTGGGTCGCGGGCGGGGTCGTCGGTTGGCCGTGGGTGGGGTCGCGGGTGGGTCGCGTGTGGGTCGCGGGTGGGTCGCGGGCGGGTGGCGGGGTGGGTCGCGGCCGGGTCTCGGGTGCGTCTCGGGCCGCGTCGCGGGTGGGTCGCGGGTGGGTCGCGGGCCGGGTCGCGGGCCGGGTCGCGGGGAGGACGACGACACCAAGCAACAAACAACAAGCAACAAACAACAAGCAACAACAAGCACACAACACACAACACACAACAAACCACAAACAACAATGAACAAACAACAAACAACACACAACAACAGCAACAACAGCAGCAACAACACCAACGACAACACCAACAACAACACCACCAGCAACAGCAGCAGCAACAGCAGCAGCCACAAAAACAACACCAACACCAACACCACCAACACCAGCAACAACAACCACAACAACACCAACCACAACAACAACACCAACAACAACAATACCAACAACAACAGCAACAGCAATAGCGACAACAGCATCAACACCATCACCAACAACAGCGACACCAACAACAACAATAGCAGCAGCAGTAACAACAACACCAGAAACACCATTACCAACAACATCAATCCGCACCGCATAACGTCACTTTAGCCGCTCGCCCAGGGAGAGTGACCGACCGTTCGCCCTCACTCTAGTTTTACTTGTATGCATGTTTGTACACATGCATAACTGTGTGTACGCATGTGTGTACATACTATGTGTACACATACACACATATATAAATATATAGCTATATGTATATATGTAGGTATGCATGCATATGTAAATATCTATCCAGGTATGTACAAATGAAGGTGCAGCATCCCGTTTTATGTATCTCAGAGGACATTCGCATGCGCCGTCATCGCAGCTTTTTCTGGTTCAAGGAGCCCATGGGTGGCGGTTGGGAGTCCAGCCAGTGTCGCCTGGCTGTTGGACCCGGCCAAGACACCTGCTATTGCCTTGTTCATTCTTTGTGAAGTGATGTGGCACTGAGCGTGGCTCAGCAAGGCGCGAGTGTGCTCGTGGAGGTGAGCCTGATGACCTACGGCGCCGCCGCCGTAGCCTCACCAGGTCAGGACGGCGGCGGCGATTGGTGGTTTACCCGAGGAGCAGTGGCTCGAGGCCGGAAACATTGCTTTCGACTGGAGCCACGAGGACCAGGGCCAGGCTCTGAGGGACGTGCTGGAGGTCGTGGCTGACAATTTCGAAGGGGCGAACCTCTAACTGAATGTACTGAGCGCGTCGGACCCATCCTACTAGCGGTGGGCCTGTCAGCAGGTGGGCCTTCATCCTCACCACCTCTGTGCTGGCGAAACCTCCGTTTGCGCGTGCGGGGGTGTCCCGACCATATACATCGGCCGTTTCAGGAAATTGCAGCTGGAGCGTGCGTGTGCCCTGCACGCACGATGGCGCACGAGGAACGCTTAGCTCCCTGAGCTCGGCCCGCGGTCAGCAGGCCGATGACCTCGCGGCCCTCGAGGACGTTAGAGGCGGGAGGTGGCGCCGGCGGCGCAGTCGAGGATCAGGATGCCAGGCTCCTCGGGCGGCGGCTGCAGTTGCTGGGCCGCAGCGCTGCTGCTGGGCATAGAGATGGCCTCGTCACGATCGGCGGAGAGCCCCCGCGCCTGGGCCGCCAGGAGCTGCGGCGGCGGCTTGTTGACCCCGCCAAGGGCGGGATGCACAAGGATGGCCAAGGGGGGGGGAGCCTGGCGGCGCCGCCTTGTGGACCTGGTCAAGGGTGACGGCGGCGCGCGCGGCAGGGGCGGAGAGTCCGCGAGAGTCCGCCCGGGGCCGCTCGCGGACTCCGCGGCGCCAGGAGGAGGACGAGGAGGTGCTCGGCAGCCTGGCGAGGGCACTTAAGAGTGCCGGTCGTCGCGGCGGTGGAGATGATCCCTTCGAGGGCCCGACCGACGAGGAGGGGCGCGGGCTGGGGGGTCTTTCGAAGGCGTGATCCACGAGACGGACGGCACTGCGGAGGTTGGCCCACGCCCACCTAGGTCGCATCACGGAGCAGGAGTTCGCCTACATGCTGGAGCACCTCGGCGAGGATGACGCGACCCTCGCCTCGACGGGGGGGCCCGGGGCCGTGTTCCTCGCGTTCCTGCAGCGGCTCTTCGTGACTCGCTGGGCGAGAGCCGCTACTGCGAGACGACGCTTGCCGCTGCCTTCGAGCTTCCAGCGAGGCATTGGAGGCCTGCGACGCGTTGACCAGTCGAGCGAAGTCGATGCTGAAGGAGGCGAAGGATGGCAGCGCCCAGGGATCCTGGCGGATCGAGCTGCCGCCGTGGTTTTCGCGGCCTTCCCCTCGGCGCCAAGGACAAGGAGTTCGCCGCCGCCGCGGCGGCCGGCGAAGCGAGGGTGACCATGCTGCTCGGTCGGCTGCGGCCTAGCCTGGGATAGCCGGGAGGCCGGGGAAGCGGGGCGCGCGGGGGCCTCCCTGTAGGCTATGCCTCGCCGACGGGCGGGGCCGGCGCAGCGCCCGCAGGGCGGGCGACGCAGCTAGGGCCCCCAATAGATTCCATGCAGAGCGCGCCGCCCACGGCCCCCTCCTGGTGCCCCTCTGCGCCCGATGGGATCCGGGCGCTGGTCACCAGCTCGGGCGGCCCCGAGGGTCGCCGCCGAGGGCGGAGGTCAGCAGCGGGGCCGGAGCCCGCTCGACGGAGCCCGCGTCGGAGCCCCTGCGCTGGCGAAGGCTCGGCCGCCCCGGGGGCAGGGCGACGCTCGCCAGCAGCGGGAGAGGGCGCAGTCTGAGGTGGAAGAGCGCAGCGGGGCCGAGGAGGGCTGGTGCGAGAGAGAGAGAGAGAGAGAGAGAGAGAGAGAGAGAGAGAGAGAGAGAGAGAAAAAACGATAACGAAAGAGAGGGAGAGAGAGAGAGAGAAAACAAGAGAAAGAGAGAGAGAAACAATATATAAGAGAGAGAGAGAGAGAGAGAGAGAGAGAGAGAGAGAGAGAGAGAGAGAGAGAGAGAGAGAGAGAGAAAAAAAAAAGAGAAAGATAACGAGAAGGAGAGAGAGAGAGAGAGAGAGAGAGAGAGGAGAGAGAGAGAGAGAGAGAGAGAGAGAGAGAGAGAGAGAGAGAGAGAGAGAGAGAGAGAGAGAGAGAAAAAAAGAGGAGAAAGAGAGAGAGAGAGAGAGAGAGAGTGAGAGAGAGAGAGAGAGAGAGAGAGAACACACACACACACTTACATGTGTACATGCACATCTATATGTATATATATACACATATGTGTATATATATATATGTATATATACAAGACTCTGAAGGCTCGCTACGCTTCGCCCTTCGAATCTTGGTCCTTCTCCTTCTCCTTCGCCTCATCCTGCCCCTCCTCCTTCTCCTTCTCCCCTGCCCTCCGCCTCCTCGTTCGGCCCGGCTTGGCGGGGCCGAAACGGGCCGGGCCGGCGCGCGAGCCGGTCGAGCTGGCGCCGATCGGGCAAGGGTGGGCGGCGGCAGCGGCTGTAGCGACGACGACGACGACAACGACGACGACGACGACGACGACGACGGCAGCGGCGGCGGCGGCGACGACGACGACAGCGACGACGACGATGACGATGGCGGCGACGACGATGACGACGGTGGCGGCGGTGGCGGCGGTGGCGGCGACGACGACGACGGCGGCCTTTCCACCTGCGCGGCCTCCCCCATACGTCGTTGTCGTCGTCGTCGTCGGTCGTCGTCTGTCGTCGTCGCCGTCGTCGTCGCCGTTGTTTCGTTGCCGTCGTCGTCGTCGCCGTTGTTTCGTTGTGATCGGCGTCGCTGGCCGGGAAGCTTCCTCCACGAACCTGGTGGCTGGCATTCCGGGGATTTGGGGCCATGATTGACGTGCGTGATTTGTGTATCGTGCTGCGCGGCGCGCGGGCGTGCGTGCGCGCGTCCGCGCGCGCGGTGTGCGCGTGCGTGCGTGTGTGTGCGCGCGCATGCGTGTTTTGTGAGTTTTTCGCGTAGTGTGGCGGTTGGGCGCAGTGTTCGGGTACTGCGCATGGCCCTCTGCTAGAAATTACTGTCGCCTCCCCGCGCGGCCGCTGTTGTGACGTTCGCCCCTGAGGAACGTTGCTGCAGGTTGCGCATGCCCGGTCCGAATGAGGAATAAC